TTTGAATGAGAGCTGTGTCCAGTGTTCTGAGAAAGAGTCTGAGAACTGTATGAACTGATGAGACACGGTCCAAATGTTCTGCAAGATGTAATTTCTTCTTTTTACCACCAGAGTGCAGTATTGTCCTTCTCTAAACATGTCCCGTGTGTTTCACCATCGCTCTTGTGTGTGAGTGCACACAAGGGCAACGCTGATCAGATAGCAGTTTACTAATCTTAGTCTGAGCTGCCATAATTGAATCATCTACCCACATAATTTAATCTAAACAAGGTACACGGGGGAAAGAGGGAGCTTTTTGTTTGACACAGGAAAGAACTCATTTCATTTGGGCTTAACCTCCCACCACTGTCTGAATCCACACAGTCACAAGCACGGGTCAGATGAGCTGTGGACCCATAATCAGATCTGTTTCAATATGACCACAGATACATCGTTTCTGTGAGTATTTAGAATGTTACTTTCCCACAGTACACAGGTCTATATTCAATTAGAGCGGCTGAAATGTAGCAGTCTGCGTTTAAGTATAGCTCTACTTCAGATCACCACATTTTAGAAAACCTCTTCACTAACGAAATATTATATCTTAACAATTTCAAAAGTTTTAGTGTCAGTTCATAGTTCTGTTGCGATAATAACATTTGAAGCCAAAGATGTTCATTTTTGTCTTCTTATAAACTTTAACTTCTTGGGTTATTTTTAAAGACAATGCAGTAAAGTGTGTTTACCTTGTTGACATGTTTTGGCTGTTGCTGCGAGCCATCTTCAGAACTGTTCCCGGTGTTGGTGGTGACGTGTCGTATATCAGCTGTTGTTACTTCCTGTAGGCGTGGTCAGCCTGATGGACCTGCAGGTCGCTCAGACTGACCACGCCTCCCGTCGCCCGGTGTTCTCTGGAGGAGGAGGTTAATGCTGTCCGTGCCTCGTTTCCTGATTTCACTGTCCTCCCTGATCCAGCGTTTGAACTTGTTGTTTTCCGATCCAGTGACCCAAGCCCCGTCCCAATCCATAATGTGGTTGTTCCTTTTACAGTGTCTGATATGGCGGATTTCAGGTTTTCCTGTTCTGCTTTGTCTTTTTGTGTTCTGTACGAGCGTACACCCCAAAGATAAAATCCCACAAGAACAAAAATGCAATGCCATCTATGAAATCCAATGAAAATCATGCAATAAATCATACATAGGGGAAACAAGCCGGACATTTCACATCCAAAAAAAGGAACACCAAAAGGAATGCGAAAAGGAAACATCAGGGAGACTCACCAGAACACAAAAAGATAAAGCAGAACAGGAAAATCTGAAATCCGCCATATCAGACACTGTAAAAGGAACAACCACAATTTCAACCCAGCAATTCCCGGGTTGAAATTGCTCGATCACACAGAAGGAGCTTGGAGTAGAGCTGCTGCTCCTCTACGTTGAGCTGTGCAACTGAGGTGGATCGGGCATCTCTTCTGGATTCCTCCTTGGCTCCTCCCTCCGAAGGTGTTCCAGGCATGTCCCACCTGAAGAAAGGACCAGGACATGCTGGACGGACTATAGTAAGTCTTTATTTATATAGCGCTTTTCACAGACATTTTTATTTATTTATTCATTATTTATTTATTCATTTATTCATTCACTCTATACCTGGTGGTGGTAAACTAATGTTGTAGCCACAGCTGCCCTGGGCCAGACTGACAGAAGCGCAGCTGCCATGCCAATCGGCGCCATCAGTCCCTCCGACCACCATCACTCACACACACACCACTTTCATAATAGGCAAAGTGGGTGAAGTGTCTTGCCTAAGGACACAACGGCAGTTATTCCCACTGCCACCCCCATCCAAGTACTAACCATGGACTATGTCTCTGGGGTGGCCTCGGAACACTTTGGGGTCCCCCCGGTGGAGCTGGAGGAAGCGTCTGGGGTGAAGAAAGTCTGCGAGTCCCTGCTTAGACTGATGCCCTCACAACCCATCCCCGGATAAGCGGAAGAAAATGGTTGGATGGGGTTCGAAATCATCCAAATGATTCTAGCGAAGGTGCGTGGAGTTTAAAAACACACTGAAGCACTTCCTGTATCACCACATGACATCAAAAGTGGAACATTTTTATTTATTTATTTTTTTCAGTTTGAGAGAAGAGCTCAGCCTAAATATGCAGCGTTTCTGTGTTAAAATAATGAAACCAGACACAGCTCCAGGTCTGTTTGTGGTCTGTATTATAACACAGATCAGAAAATAATATAATATGGGCCTAGTTGATTGATCACTAAAACTCTATTGTAACAGTTTATTAGCTCGTCTAAAATCTGCATTCTTACAACAATTCTTTGGCCAGATAGTAAAAAGTTGAAAGGGGGCTTGTAAGAAAACATTTGCTTATAAAGGGAGTACATCTGACGGGTATTAGTCTGATAATCCCATTTGAAACGAAACTCCACTCTGCCTCATTATGGGAACCAGATGCATATGAATTCATTTAGTCTGACAAATATACACAGTCAGAGAGGAAATGTATAGCAGCGGTAAACAG